GGGTCTGGCTGAACCGCAGTAATCTTGAGGAATGGACCCGCCTGAAAGGGCCCGGCTGATCAACAGCAATCTCAAGTAGGCCCGCCTGAAGGGGCCGGGCTGAACAGCAATAGTCTCAAGTAGGCCCGCCTGAAAGGGCCCGGCTGAGCAGCAGCTGATCAGCAAAACATCTCATGCACAGGGACCAGTCGTAAATGTAGAGAGTACTGGGGCTGGACTTAGTCAAGTCGTCTGTGCAGGGGCTGAATTGCGAATGCTCCCCGTGTGGGAAGGTATCATGTGCATGGGGTGGTGCTGATCAGCAAGGAAATAAATCGACGGGTGCGCGAAGGCAAATCATCCCATCTAGATCATCATAGTACTCGCTCGGACATCATCATAGCAATCCTAAGGCTCGGGCGCGCGTGGGCGCGCACTCAAATGACAATATCCAGCCTGGGCACGCATAGGCGCGCACTCTAATAACAATTCCAGGCTTGGGCGCGCATGGGCACGCACTCTAACAACGATGCCAAGCTTGGGCGCGCATGGGCGCACACTCTAACAGCAATGCCAAGCTCGGGCGAGCATGGGCGAGCACTCTAACAGCAATGCCAAGCTCAGGCGCGCATGGGCGCGCATTCTAACAGCAATGCCAAGCTTGGGCGCACATGGGCGCGCACTCTAACACCAATGCCAAGCTCGGGCACGCAATATCGAGCACGGGCGCGCACGGGAGCGCACTCAAATAGCGATATCTGGTCTGGGCGCGCGTGGGCGCGCACTTAAATGACAATATCTGGTCTGGGCGCGCACTAGCGCACACTTAAATAACGATATCTAGTCTGGGCGCGCACTGGCGCACACTTAAATAACAATATCTGGTCTGGGCGCGCACTGGCGCACACTTAAATAACGATATCTAGTCTGGGCGCGCACTGGCGCACACTTAAACAACAATATCTGGTCTGGGCGCGCACTGACGCACACTTAAATAACCAGCCGCATGCTCAATCTGCTGGTCAAATGAAAGTGACAATGCTTAGGACCAATACACTACTGCTTGCAATTTTGGTGATCAGTCAAACAGGATGAAACGATTACTGCTTGCAAAACTTG